GTAGTCTCCAGGTAGTCTCCGGGTAGTCTCCAGGTAGTCTCCAGGTAGTCTCCAGGTAGTCTCCAGGTAGTCTCCAGGTAGTCTCCAGGTAGTCTCCAGGTAGTCTCTGGGTAGTCTCCAGGTAGTCTCCAGGTAGTCTCTGGGTAGTCTCTGGGTAGTCTCCAGGTAGTCTCCAGGTAGTCTCTGGGTAGTCTCCAGGTAGTCTCCAGGTAGTCTCCAGGTAGTCTCTGGGTAGTCTCCAGGTAGTCTCCAGGTAGTCTCCAGGTAGTCTCCAGGTAGTCTCCAGGTAGTCTCCAGGTAGTCTCCAGGTAGTCTCCAGGTAGTCTCTGGGTAGTCTCCAGGTAGTCTCCAGGTAGTCTCTGGGTAGTCTCCAGGTAGTCTCTGGGTAGTCTCCAGGTAGTCTCTGGGTAGTCTCTGGGTAGTCTCCTTCACGTAGTCTCCGTCAGCTTCCTTCTTTCGGTGCATTATTTACTACGTACTGAATTATTCAGGTCAGGAAGCCAGCCGTGTGGGTATCAAGATGGTACAGGTGGTGGTACAGGTGGTGGTACAGGTGGTGGTACAGGTGGTGGTACAGGTGGTGGTACAGGTGGTGGTACAGGTGGTGGTACAGGTGGTGGTACAGATGGTGGTACAGGTGGTGGTACAGGTGGTGGTACAGGTGGTGGTACAGGTGGTGGTACAGGTGGTGGTACAGGTGGTGGTACAGGTGGTGGTACAGGTGGTGGTGCAGGTGGTGGTACAGGTGGTGGTACAGGTGGTGGTGCAGGGGTGTAAGGTGTATGCACTCTGTTGGACCTGCAAGATCGAGCGTCTGCTCTTGGGCCCGGCTTTTTCAGCTGTCGGTCATCTATCTCATGCAGTGCATGGTGCCCCACCCACTGGATTTCTATTATATCTACATTTAAATCATTGACTGATGTCCTCTAGCGCCTCCTCCTCCTCTATCTCATTCCACGTACACACTACTCAAGTTAAATAATTATGTTGTGGCATCTCTATGGCAGATCTGCGTCACTGGCTTCCAACTGTTATACTTTTTAAACTTTCTCCTTATCTGATTTGTGAATACAGTATTCTTTAGTATCTTATACATCGCAATCATTTCTCATCTTTCCCCTCTCTTATGTAATGTAAGATCCAGTTCCGTCAGGCTTTCCTCGTGCTCCAACCTTCTCAGTTCTGGGATCAATATTGTGGTGCATTCTCCAGTTTTATCTTGTGTTTCTTTGGGTATGAGTTCCGTGTAGGAACTGCATACTCAAATATTGGTCTCATATAGGTTGAGTACATTGCTCATAATACTTCTTTGTTCAGATTTGTGAAAGCTACTCGCATGTTTGTTAGTTTCCCATATGCTGCTGATGTGATTCAGTTAATATGTAGATGTCTCCTAATTCACCACAGATGTCGAGCCTGGCCTCAGGCCGGGCTCGGGGAGTGGAAGAACTCCCAGAACCCCATCCAGGTATAATCCAGATATTCTCCAGGTAGGCATACTCCAGGTATGCTCCAGGTATGCTCCAGGTATGCTCCAGGTATGCTCTAGGTATGCTCTAGGTATGCTCCAGGTATGCTCTAGGTATGCTCCAGGTATGCTCCATGTATGCTCCATGTATGCTCCAGGTATGCTCTAGGTATGCTCCATGTATGTTCCAGGTATGCTTCAGGTATGCTCCAGGTATGCTCCAGGTATGCTCCAGATATGCTCCAGGTATGCTCCAGGTATGCTCCATGTATGCTCCAGATATGCTCCAGGTATGCTCCAGGTATGCTCCAGGTATGCTCCATGTATGCTCTAGGTATGCTGCATGTATGCTCCAGGTATGCTTCATGTATGCTCTAGGTATGCTGCATGTATGCTCCAGGTATGCTCCAGGTATGCTCCAGGTATGCTCCATGTATGCTCTAGGTATGCTCCAGGTATGCTCCATGTATGCTCCAGGTATGCTCCAGGTATGCTCCAGGTATGCTCCATGTATGCTCCAGGTATGCTCCATGTATGCTGTGTGTGTGTGTGTACTCACCTATTTGTGCTTGCGGGGGTTAAGCTCTGGCTCTTTGGTCCCGCCTCTCAACTGTCAATCAACAGGTGTACAGGTTCCTGAGCCTATTGGGCTCTATCATATCTACACTTGAAACTGTGTATGGAGTCAGCCTCCACCACATCACTTCCTAATGCATTCCATTTGTCAACCACTCTGACACTAAAAAAGTTCTTTCTAATATCTCTGTGGCTCATTTGGGCACTCAGTTTCTACCTGTGTCCCCTAGTGCGTGTGCCCCCTTGTGTTAAAGAACCTGTCTTTATCTACCCTATCAATTCCCTTGAGAATCTCGAATGTGGTGATCATGTCCCCCCTAACTCTTCTGTCTTCCAGCAAAGTGAGGTTTAATTCTCGTAGTCTCTCCTCGTAGCTCATACCTCTCAGCTCGGGTACTAGTCTGGTGGCAAACCTTTGAACCTTTTCCAGTTTAGTCTTATCCTTGACTAGATATGGACTCCATGCTGGGGCTGCATACTCCAGGATTGGATGCCGCTGATGTTATCCTCTTGATATGGGCTGCAGGAGACAGGTCCACACACACCTGGGTGTGTGTGTGTGTGTGTGTGTGTGTGTGTGTGTGTGTGTGTGTGTGTGTGTGTGTGTGTGTGTGTGTGTGTGTGTGTGTGTGTGTGTGTGAGCGGCGTGGGTACACGTGGGTGGGGGGGAAAACAGAAGCCGGTGGACGGCTGGCAACCCACGCGAGGAGCCAGGTCTGACAACGGACCTCAGCGCTGAGGCTTCCTGCATCATCCATCTCCCAACCTGCTTGACTGACAGCAACTTGGGTCTGCCTTGGTGCACACTCGACTGTCATAAAAGCCCTGTGTCACGTGTCAGCATCATGGTGTCAGGTACCAACAAGGGCTGTAAACATCAAAGTTGACATTTTTATCTCCAGTGAAGGAGTTTGTTTTCTCAGTAAACAAGGTTTATACAGCTGCAGAGCGTCGACAAGACGACACAACTCTTGGCAGCGCGTCGACAAGACGACACAATTCTTGGCAGAGCGTCGACAAGACGACACAAATCTTGGCAGAGCGTCGACAAGACGACACAATTCTTGGCAGAGCGTCGACAAGACGACACAACTCTTGGCAGAGCGTCGACAAGACGACACAACTCTTGGCAGAGCGTCGACAAGACGACACAACTCTTGGCAGAGCGTCGACAAGACGACACACGAGTCCTAATATAACTTTAGCCCTTATTTAGCAAGTTTACATTTGTACATGTATGAATCCCAGAACCCTCTTTATTCATGTCGCTTGTTCAGGTTAGTTTGTCATTGTCCATGACCAGAATGTAGAGAGTCGTGTGTTCTCGTCGTCTTGGCCTCGCGCTCTCAATAATGTCGTTCTTAGGGCGTGTCCAGCCTTGTGAGGCTGGGGAAGGCAGCGACTAGAGTCTGTCTCATCGCCTTATTGACCAATAGTGGCCAAACCCTCTGGTCAGAACTAAGCAATAATATCACTAGTACCCAGTCTTGGTGCCCAGCCTTGGTGCCTAGCCTCGGTACCCAGCGTTGGTGCCCAGCCTTGGTGCCCAGCCTCAGTACCCAGCCTTGGTGCCCAGCCTTGGTGCCCAGCCTCGGTACCCAGCCTTGCAAGGTACCCCACACGGACTATGATAGTGCTGGTCTCCTCCACAGGTACCTGAAGTGGCTGGCGGTGGCCAACCTGCTGGTGTGTGTGGTGCTGCTGCCCTTCACTCTCCACACCCACGACACGCCCGTCCCCTACCCCGCCGCACTATACTTCGCCCATATAGAGGTAAGGTCTTCCCTTGCTCTGCCCAGCCACTTGGGCTGGACGGTAGAGCGACGGTCTCGCTTCATGCTGGCCGGCGTTCAAGCCCCAGCCGTCCAAGTGGTTGGGCACCATTTATTCCCCCGGTCCCATCCCAAATCCTTATCCGGACCGCTTCCCAGTGCTATATAGTCGTAATGGCTTGGCTGTTTCCCCTGATAGTACCCTTCCTTCCCTTGCTCGGCTTCGTAGAATACCCAAACACACAAATATTATATGTTAACTATATGTGACGTTTGATATTCTATGGGCGGTTCAGGAGACTATGATAGCTTGTTGAAATTACTCATACGAGTGCACCAGACGCCGCCTTGTGAAGCAGGCGTTGTGTAGCATACATGGAGAACACCTCCGCATGTTCCAGTCACTAATGAGTAACCTGGTACCACTCGTGTTAGACATGACTGTTAGATATGACTGTTAGATATGACTGTTAGACATGACTGTGGGTGACTAGCGGTGGAACACCATCCGTGCAACAAGAGGGAGCCATATAGATGTGTTGACCAGCGACCCACATGGCGCGGCATCATGCCATGCCGTGACCTCCTCACACAGCACGTACTGAGGATGCTGTAAATCCTTCCCAGGAGCTGCAGCCAACCTGAAGGGCACATTGCATGAAATCCTTTGGCGTGATCCTCGAGGTATTCCGCCTCAGACTCGCCACCTTCCCTCAAGTGGTGTGTTTTCCTCAAGACGTATATCCCCTCACACCCCTCACTCCCCCCTCACACCCCTCACTCCTCCTAAACCTCCAGGTGTACAAGATGGCGGCCGAAGGGCAAGAGGAGAATCTCAGCTGTTATTCTGGCGGGGATGAAGTGTGGGTGGTGGTGGTGATGGTGGTGGTGGGTGTGTGGGTGGTGGTGGTGGTGGTGGTGGGTGTATGGGCGGTGGTGGTGGTGGTGGTGGGTGTATGGGCGGTGGTGGTGGTGATGGTGGTGGTGGGTGTGTGGGTGGTGGTGGTGGTGGTGGTGGGTGTATGGGCGGTGGTGGTGGTGGTGGTGGTGGGTGTATGGGCGGTGGTGGTGGTGATGGTGGTGGTGGGTGTGTGGGTGGTGGTGGTGGTGGTGGTGGGTACTCACCTAGTTGTACTCACCTAGTTGTGTTTGCGGGGGTTGAGCTCTGGCTCTTTGGTCCCGCCTCTCAACCGTCAATCAACAGGTGTACAGATTCCTGAGCCTATCGGGCTCTGTCATATCTACACTTGAAACTGTGTATGGAGTCAGCCTCCACCACATGGGTGTATGGGCGGTGGTGATGGTGGTGGTGGGTGTGTGGGTGGTGGTGGTGATGGTGGTGGTGGGTGTGTGGGTGGTGGTGGTGATGGTGGTGGTGGGTGTATGGGTGGTGGTGGTGATGGTGGTGGTGGGTGTATGGGTGGTGGTAGTGGTTGTATGGGAGGTGGTGGTGATGGTGGTGGTGGTGGGTGTATGGGTGGTGGTAGTGGTTGTATGGGAGGTGATGGTGGTGGGTGTATGAGTGGTGGTAGTGGTTGTATGGGAGGTGATGGTGGTGGGTGTATGGGTGGTGGTAGTGGTTGTATGGGAGGTGATGGTGGTGGGTGTATGAGTGGTGGTAGTGGTTGTATGGGTGGTGGTGGTGGTGGAGGTGGTGGGTGTATGGGTGGTGGTGATGGTGGTGGGTGTATGGGTGGTGGTGGTGGTTATATGGGAGGTGATGGTGGTGGGTGTATGAGTGGTGGTAGTGGTTGTATGGGTGGTGGTGGTGGTGGAGGTGGTGGGTGTATGGGTGGTGGTGATGGTGGTGGGTGTATGGGTGGTGGTAGTGGTTGTATGGGTGGTGGTGGTGGAGGGTGTATAAGTGGTGGTGGAAGGTGTATAAGTGGTGGTGGTGGGTGTATAGGTTGTAGTGGTTGTATGAGTGGTAGTGGTGGAGAGTATATAAGTGGAGGGTGTATAGATGGTGGTGGTGTACTACCCAACCCTCAACCATCACCACCACCACCTAACCCTCACCTGCGAGACTCCAACATTGCCTAACAGCTTCCGTATGCCGCCACAGGTGCCGGTGGGGAACGCACTCATCGCCTCCAGCGTGTACATCGTGGTCGGGCTGAGCATCGACAGGTTCGTGGCTGTGTGTTACCCCCGCAAGTATCGCAACCTTCACAGTCACTACGTCGCCTCCGTCAGGATCTCCCTCTCCTTCGTCATCGCCTTCATCATGTACGTGCCCATGGCCTTCTACAAGATGGTGGTCCCTGCCAGCGGCTTCCCGAGCAAGTTCCTTATCGAGGAGAACCTGCAGGTGGTGTCGACGAGGTGGTTCATGGTCTACGAGTATCTGCTCGAGATCTGCGTCAGGTTGGTGCGTGTATGTATTGAGTGTTGTATTGTGTTGTATTGCGTGCATGTGCGTGTATTTACTATTGGTGTCTGCAGAATCGAGCTATTTGCTCTTGCACCCCGCCTTTCTAATCTATCTATTTTCCTCTATTATTATCCTCTATTAATGTATCTACATACATTTCTTTCTAACACACACACACACACACACACACACACACACACACACACACACACACACACACACACACATACACATACACATACACATACACACACACACACACACATATACACACACACACACACACACACACACACACACACACACACACACACACACACACACACCACACACATACACATACACATACACACATACACATACACACACACACACACACACACATGCCTAAATCGTGCCTCACAGGTTTAATAGAATTCTATGACCAGGCAACGAAAATTAGGCAGGAAAGAGAAGGGTGGGCCGACTGCATTTTCCTGGATTGCCAAAAAGCCTTTGATACAGTACCCCATAAAAGGCTGTTAAAAAAGTTGGAGCAACAGGCAGGAGTAAAAGGGAAGGTGCTCCAGTGGATAAGGGAGTACTTAAGCAACAGGAAACAGCGAGTAACGGTGAGGGGGGAGACATCAGAGTGGCGAGATGTCACCAGCGGAGTCCCACAGGGCTCAGTACTTGGACCCATCCTGTTTCTAATATATGTGAACGATCTTCCAGAGGGTATAGACTCATTCCTCTCGATGTTTGCTGATGATGCAAAAATTATGAGAAGAATCAAGACGGATGAAGATAGACAGAGACTACAGGATGACCTGGATAAACTGGAGGAATGGTCTAGAAAATGGCTGCTAAAGTTCAACTAGGGAAAGTGTAAGGTCAAATAGAGAGAAAGACCTGGGGATTGATATCACACCGAACCTGTCCCCAGAGGCCCGCATCAAAAGAATATCATCAGCGGCATATGCTAGACTGGCCAACATAAGAACTGCCTTCAGAAACTTGTGTAAGGAATCTTTCAGAACCCTGTATACCACTTATGTAAGACCAATCCTGGAGTATGCAGCTCCAGCCTGGAGTCCATACCTAGTTAAACACAAGACAAAGTTAGAGAAGATTCAGCGGTATGCCACCAGGCTCGTCCCGGAACTGAGAGGATTGAGCTACGAGGAAAGGCTAAAGGAGCTGAACCTCACATCCCTGGAAAACAGAAGAGTAAGGGGAGACATGATAACCACCTACAAAATTCTCAGGGGAATTGACAGGGTGGACAAAGACAAACTCTTCAGCACGGGTGGGACACGAACAAGGGGACACAGGTGGAAACTTAGTACCCAGATGAGCCACAGAGACGTTAGAAAGAATTTTTTCAGTGTCAGAGTAGTTAATAAATGGAATGCACTAGGAAGTGATGTGGTGGAGGCTGACTCCATACACAGTTTCAAATGTAGATATGATAGAGCCCAGTAGGCTCAGGAATCTGTACACCAGTTGATTGACAGTTGAGAGGCGGGACCAAAGAGCCAAAGCTCAACCCCCGCAAGCACAATTAGGTGAGCACAATTAGGTGAGTACACACACACACACACACACACACACACACACACACACACACACACCACACACACACACACACACTACACACACACAGGCATCAGGCTGAGTGGACAGTGCTCCATTCGTAATTCTAGGGCCTGGGATCCATCCCCGGCGAAGTGGAAACCCGGGTCATTATTCTTTCACCCCCATGCCCCTCTTACCAGCAGTAGATAGGTACTTGAGAGTTAGACGTGTGTTACGTGCTGCTTCCTGTGTGTGTGTGTGTGTGTACTCACCTAGTTGTACTCACCTAGTTGTGCTTGCGGGGGTTGAGCTCTGGCTCTTTGGTCCCGCCTCTCAACCGTCAATCAACAGGTGTACAGGTTCCTGAGCCTATTGGGCTCTATCATATCTACACTTGAAACTGTGTATGGAGTCAGCCTCCACCACATTGCTTCCTAATGCATTCCATTTGTCAACCACTCTGACACTAAAAAAGTTCTTTCTAATATCTCTGTGGCTCATTTGGGCACTCAGTTTCCACCTGTGTCCCCTAGTGCGTGTGCCCCTTGTGTTAAATAGCCTATCTTTATCAACCCTGTCGATTCCCTTGAGAATCTTGAATGTGGTGATCATGTCCCCCCTAACTCTTCTGTCTTCCAACGAAGTGAGGTTCAATTCCCGTAGTCTCTCCTCGTAGCTCATACCTCTCAGCTCGGGTACTAGTCTGGTGGCAAACCTTTGAACTTTTTCCAGTTTAGTCTTATGCTTGACTAGATATGGACTCCATGCTGGAGCCGCATACTCCAGGATTGGTCTGACATATGTGGTATATAATGTTCTGAAAGATTCCTTACACAAGTTTCTAAAGGCCGTTCTTATGTTAGCCAACCTGGCATATGCTGCTGATGTTATCCTCTTGATATGAGCTTCAGGGGACAGGTCTGGCGTGATATCAACCCCCAGGTCTTTCTCTCTCTCTGACTCTTGAAGTATTTCATCTCCCAAGTGATACCTTGTATCTGGTCTCCTGCTTCCTACCCCTATCTTCATTACATTACATTTGCTTGGGTTAAACTCTAACATCCATTTGTTCGACCATTCCTGCAGCTTGTCCAGGTCTTCTTGAAGCCTCAAGCGTGTGTGCTTATCAATCAATGTTACCTATGAATGGCTGCTGTTTGGTTTGATTATTGCCGCCGGAGGCAGCTAGTTTATTGTGCACCCCATACTCATCCTGTGAGCGGTAGCGCAAAAGCATTACAGAGGGCACAAAAGGTCTTTATCAGACCTCATCTTAGATTATACACATAAACAATTTCATCTATCCTTCACACCTTATAGTTACAATGTCAGCTAGTTACAGAGAAAGTGCTATTTCACGAGTTATACATTTACAGTAAATCATTATACATTAATGGTAGGTCTTATCGCTAATACATAATAGTTTGACCAATGGAGATAGTCATAGGGTAGTTTCTGTTTATTATTAGTCCTCACAATACACTACTTGTTTCTTCATCTCATATGTCGTTTATCTACTGGAAGCGAAATGTGGATACAGTGCAAGGATTTCAGGTAATTTATTCATGGTAATAAGATAGGTTGCTATATCATAGAGTGAGCTTAGATTCATCTCTAAATGGCTCAATTTTACTACAATCCAAGATATAGTGTTCGAGTGTGTGTCCCTGTCTTTGTCCACACACTTTACACTTTACTTCATCTACATCCCTATACAAGCCGATCTGCCAGAGATACTTGTAGCCAAGTCTTATACGAGCTGTGACAACATCTGTTAGTCTACTGACTTTGTTACTTGCCCCATACACATGTTTTACTTCACACATTTCGTTGTGATGAACAATGGACTTGCTAGTTCCAGTTTGCACAGTTCTACTTTCTTTAAATCCATCCAGGAGTTCTTGTCTAATGACACTTTTAAGGGACTTATTTGATAACTCAAGATTCCGTTCAATACTGTCTTTATTTACTGCAGCCTTAGCAAGGGCGTCAACTTTGTCATGTTCCTGCAGGCCAATGTGAGAATGAATCCACAACATTTTTATATTTACCCTCTTGCTAAGTATTCTTATATATCTACGTCTAGCTTCCAAGACAAGCACGTTATTACTTGATTGTAAACTGTTTATTGCTCGAAGTGAGGAAAGGGAGTCAGAAATAATTAAGCTGTCTACTTCAGTGTTGTCAATAATTTCGAGTGCTACCAGTATTGCTACCAACTCGGCCTGCATTGTGGACGCCCAGTTACTAATTCGGACATTCCTTTGAATTGTGCTGCCATCGGGCTGATGAGCAATAACAGCACTTCCTGCCCTCCCTGTAGCTGTATTGAGTGATCCGTCAGTGTTTAACATTTACCTCTATTAACCCCATTCTTCGCGACATTACTATCTAGTGTGCTTAAAACTTCTTGACATTTGTATTTTTTGGCCGTATTTGATTTTGAAGTTGGCTTCTACAACTTGGTGCTTGAGTTCATGTTTAGCACCCACGCAACGAACGAAAGTTTCCTTGTATCTCCTTAACATGATTACCTTTCCGACTTCTACCAGTGACCTCTTATTCTATTTCCTCGTGTTACGTAGTGAGCTATTAAACAGAGTTCATTTGTCCCTTTCTTGTAGCCATGTCATCTTTGTTCCGGCATTGACCTTGTTCAGATATATTGGTTTCTCTCATCTTATGTTCTTATGTGCTTCATATGGTATGGGTTCCTTGCTGGTGCTTCATACTGTAGTACAGGTCTAACTAAGTCTGTGTATATTGCCTTGAAAGATTTCTTGCTTAGGATTTTAAAATTGGTTTCTAATGTTACCAGCTTATCATGTTTGCTGGTGTTATCCTGTATATGTGAGGTCCGGGTGTTAGTGATGGTGTTATGTCTACTCTCAAGTCTTCCTTTCTGTAATTCCTGTAGTTATCTTCCTCTTATGATGTAGTAATCTTCCATATCCGGTCGTGTCTTCCCGCCAGCCTTGTGATGCGGTTGCTGTTTGTCAAGAAGAGGCCCTGGAGGCCCCTCCAGACCGACAACCAGAGCGCAGCTCCATAATACCACTTGTCAAGGTCATCCTGCTGCACTCTACAGTTCTCACTGTTACATTTCTAATTAACTTTGCATCATCAGCAAGTACTGACATGTAGAAACTCCCTTCCTCGGGTAGATCTTCACAGAGATTAGAAACTGCACAAGAAGGGCCTTTGGTGAATCTTGCTTGATATATATCTTCATTTTGACTTCTCTCTGACTAGGTCCCTTTGTTTCCTGCCTTTCAAATGTTTCGCCCAATTAAGTATCTCTCCAGTTAATAAATCTTGTCTCTACATCTTATGTACCTGCCTTTTGCGAACAAATTTCAAATGCTTTTTGATAGAGGAAAATATAATGAAGCAGACGTTCTCCTGTTGTCTTGCTGATCATGTTAGAGAATTTCACATTTGTCAAACATGACTTTTTCTAAAACCATTCTGTCTCTTGGTTACAAACCTTGTCTCGGCCAGGTGCTCCTCCGAGCTCTTCTTGATTATTCTCTTCAGTACCTAGCATGGCATTCACGTTGGTGATACCGTTCTGGGTTTCCTGACTGTTCCCTTTCTTTAAAATTGATAATACACTCTTTTTTTAAATGGGTTCTATTTAAGATTACATTTCTTCAGTTCACATTTCATTGTCCTTGACTTGGGGAAACAAACCTGTTGATAACAACGCTACACATATTTACAAAAGTTTAAATACCACAATCAGTTGGTAGCACCTCTATTGCACACCTTATCACATATTCAAATCTTATATCTCATCCACACATTGTAATCCCTTGTATACTGGTTATTTTCAAAGATGTTGTACTGCATATGCTGTTTGCTTTCCCTTATGTATACAAGACAAATGTGCTGCTACCAATAATGAAGTCACGTGTTGTAAACTGCCGCTGTTCTCTTCAGGTTTGCTCCAGCGATCCTCTTAGCGGTGCTCAACACTTGGATCATAGTGGAGTTTAAACGAATCAGCCGGCGGCGCCTATTGCTATCCCGGGGCATGAGCTGTGAGGTGTCAGCAATTCCTTCTCAGTCCTACTTTGAGGGAAATGCCAACACCACTGTAGTAAACCACTCTCCCTCCAATGGCCGGGTGGAGTCTGAACCTGCTGCCGCCTGTCCCAACACCGCCAATGACACCTCCATTGGCCCCCATGCTTCCATCAATATCCCTATCGTGAGCAATCCCACCGCTGCCACCAGTGTGTTGACCACCAGCCCTACAACTAACCCCAGTGCAGTCACCACCCCAACCAATACTGTAACTTCCTACAGCGAAATTTCGCCCTTAAGTCAGGAAAGCAAGATAGAAACTTGTCTCATCAACAGCAACGAGCATGCTGGTCACACGGATTACAAAGCAGTTGATGCCACGTCTCATCATGGTAATGGTTATAAGTCAGTGCTTGCTGATGGCGACATAGCAAGCACAAGAAACTCCTCGTCCAAGTCCACAACACAAAGCAGAGAAGGAAAGGAGACCATTGGCCTCTCCATGATTAATGTATCAGGTAGCTATAATTTGCTTTTATAGAATGTAATAAAGTTTAATGGACGATGCTATAGCGACAGATGTGGTTCTACCAACTGTTGCCTTATATCAACGGCACATGTAATCAGCAGAACATGTCATATGTCACTGATATAACATCACTGGAATATGCCATCAAATCTTATCAAAACAACGAAATTCTATTTAGTACAAAATAATTTGTTACATTGTCCTGTGTGTAAGATATTTTCTTGTTTCTCCCATAAATGAAAACGTAGTTGATGTTGAGCCGTTATCTGACTGTGTTGAGCCCCACCTTGTTCATTGCAGGTGGAGGTGCGCCAGTTGCGCCGCCGCGAGGTATGAGCGAGCGCCGCCACGACATGGAACGACGCCTGGTGCTGCTTCTCGTCTCCATCATCGTCGCCTTCTTCATCACCAACATCCCCGCCGCCATCCTGTCCCTCACCTTCAGCGACGACAAAAGGCATGACGTCAACTTCCAGCTCTTCCGAGCCATCGCAAACAACCTGGAGTTCCTGAACTTCGGTCTCAACTTTATCTTGTATTTTCTCTTAGTAAAGACATCCGCAGCGCCTTTATGTCACTCCTGCGGCACGCCATCGACCGCCTGAAGGAGGGCATCGAGGGCTCCAGCACCAAGTATGCCGCCACCAACCTATGATGGTCCCGTGGCCCTGAATTAACCGACCTATGATGGTCCCGTGGCCCTGACTTAACCGACCTATGATGGTCCCGTGGCCCTGACTTAACCGACCTATGATGGTCCCGTGGCCCTGACTTAACCGACCTATGATGGTCCCGTGGCCCTGACTTAACCGACCTATGATGGTCTTATATAGCCCCTGAGCTCACCGAGTTCTCTGTGGCCATGATCCCACTGAAAGGACCGATACCACTTGTGGTGGGCTTCCACCGGTCTCAGGCGCTGGGAGGCCTACGAGTCCTACGTACTACCAGGACTACGAGTCCTACGTACTACCAGGACTACGAGTCCTTGTAGTTTACAAGCAGTATATCACATTATCAGTAGTGACCGTCGCGTCCAGATCAAGTTTCAGTGTTTAAAGGGATTCAGCCGGCCATTATGTAAATTATGCCCCACCGACTAGCCTGACTTAGCCTACCTCATGTCGAAACCACGTCATTTGGGTTGTCTTTACCAATATTATGATAAACTTGATTTGTGGGTGTTTTGTTAATTTAGACATGTAGCGAATATCCACCTAGCCAAGCTTATTGCAACATTCCCTAACCCAAGTTGTCTCATACTTACTATTTGTAAGCTTAGGTTAGATCTGGTGGGGCAAATGTTATTGTTCCGCCTGGCCTCGCTGGACTTGGCCTTGGACTTTATATATATATATATATATATATATATATATATATATATATATATATATATATATATATATATATATATATATATATATATATATATATATATACATATATATATATATATATATATGTCGTACCTAGTAGCCAGAATGCACTTCTCGGCCTACTATGCAAGGCCCGATTTGCCTAATAAGCCAAGTTTTACTGAATTAATATATTTTCTTAAATTTTTTTCTTATCAAATGATAAAGCTACCCATTTCATTATGTATGAGGTCAATTTTTTTTATTGGAGTTAAAATTAACGTAGATATATGACCAAACCTAACCAACCCTACCTAACCAAACCTAACCTATCTTTATAGGTTAGGTTCGGTAAGGTAGCCGAAAAAGTTAGGTTAGGTTAGGTTAGGTAGGTTAGGTAGTCGAAAAAGCATTAATTCATGAAAACCTGGCTTATTAGGCAAATCGGGCCTTGCATAGTAGGCTGAGAAGTGCGTTCTGGCTACTAGGTACGACATATATATATATATATAAATATATATATATATATATATATGTCGTACCTAGTAGCCAGAACGCACTTCTCAGCCTACTATGCAAGGCCCGATTTGCCTAATAAGCCAAGTTTTCCTTAATTAATAAATTTTTTCTATTTTTTTTCTTATGAAATGATAAAGCTACCCATTTCATTATGTATGAGGTAATTTTTTTTTATTGGAGTTAAAATTAACGTAGATATATGTCCGAACCTAACCAACCCTACCTAACCTCACCTAACCTATCTCTATAGGTTAGGTTAGGGTAGGTAGCCAAAAAAGTTAGGTTAGGTTAGGTTAGGTAGGTTAGGTAGCCGAAAAACAATTAATTCATGAAAACTAGGCTTATTAGGCAAATCGGGCCTTGAATAGTAGGCTGAAAAGTGAGTTCTGGCTACTAGGTACGACATATATATATATATATATATGTCGTACCTAGTAGCCAGAATGCACTTCTCAGCCTACTATGCAGGGCCCGATTTGCCTAATAAGCCAAGTTTTCATGAATTAATGTTTTTTAGACTACCTAACCTACCTAACCTAACCTAACCTAACTTTTTCCGCTACCTAACCTAACCTAACCTATAAAGATAGGTTATGTTAGGTTAGGTAGGGTTGGTTAGGTTCGGTCATACATCTACTTTAATTTAAACTCCAATAAAATAAAATTGTCTTCATACATAATGAAATGGGTAGCTTTATCATTTCATAAGAAAAAAATTAGAGAAAATATATTATTTCAGGAAAACTTGCCTTATTAGGCAAATCGGGCCTTGCATAGTAGGCGGAGAAGTGCGTTCTGGCTACTAGGTACGACATATATATATATATATATATATATATATATATATATATATATATATATATATATATATATATATATATATATATATATATATAAAGAAAAAGCTTTAATAAATAGTAGAATAGATATTTGTGTAACATTCCAGTCTACTTGACTATATGTGGTAACAACACCGTGGATGTGTGTTACTGTGTGCATGTACTCACCTATTTGTACTTGAGGGGGGGTTGAGCTCTGGCTCTTTTGTCCCGCCTCTTAAATGTGGTCCAACAACACACACATGTGTGTGTGTGTCACTGTGTGTAGTTATGTGTCGTGGAACACCCAACAAGGCAACTGAATAAATTACTCCAACATTTCGGTCAGCAAGATTATAAAGGAACGTTTCTCTCACTTTGGAATGAAGAACAGATGAGATGCATCACAGTGTGGGGCAACACAGTGAGGAGCCCCAGCTTTATAATAGTCCCGCCAACATTACGTCTAAGAAAAGACTCATTCAGTTCACACCATCAAGTCCAATCCTTCCGGTGGACGCTTTTGTCCATCCTAGCCTGTACGGTGTCTTCCTCCCCATCCCAGCAGCTCCTCACCCACCCCAGCAGCTCCTCACCCACCCCAGCAGCTCCTCACCCACCCCAGCAGCTTCTCACCCACCCCAGCAGCTCCTCACCCACCCCCAGCAGCTCCTCACCCCACCCGAGCAGCTCCTCACCCACCCCAGCAGCTTCTTACCCACCCCAGCAGCTCCTCACCCACCCAAGCAGCTCCTCACCAAACCCCAGCAGCTTCTTACCCACCCCAGCAGCTCCTCACCCACCCCAGCAGCTTCTTACCCACCCCAGCAGCTCCTCACCCACCCCAGCAGCTCCTCATCCCACCCCAGCAGCACCTCACCCACCCCAGTAGCTCCGCACCACCCCAGCAGCTCCTCACCCACCCCAGCAGCTCCTCACTCGCCCCAGCAGCCCCTCACCCACCCCAGCAGCTCCTCATCCACCCCAGCAGCGCCTCACCCCACCCCCAGCAGCCGCTCACCCCACCGCAGCAGCTCCTCACCCACCCCAGCAGTCCCTCACCCACCCCAGCCGCTCCTCAACCACCACAGCAGCTCCTCACTCGCCTCAGCAGCCCCTCACCCACCCCAGCAGCTCCACACCCACCCACGCAGCCCCTCACCCACTCTAGCAGCCCCTCACCCCACCCCAGCAGCTCCTCACCCACCCCACCAGCTCCTCACCCAACCCAGCAGCTCCTCACTCCACCCCAGCAGCTCCTCACTCCACCCCAGCAGCTTCTCACCCACCCCAGCAGCTCCTCACCCCACCCCAGCAGCTCCTCACCCACCCCAGCAGCTTCTCACCCACCCCAGCAGCTCCTCACCAACCCCCAGCAGCTCCTCACCCCACCCCAGCAGCTCCTCACCCACCCCAGCAGCTTCTCACCCAACCCAGCAGCTCCTCACCCACCCCAGCAGCTCCTCACCCACCCCAGCAGCTCCTCACCCCACCCCAGCAGCTTCTCACCTACCCCATCAGCTCTTCACCCACCCCAGCAGCTTCTCACCCACCCCAGCAGCTCCTCACTCACCCCAGCAGCTCCTCACCCACCTCAGCAGCTCCTAACCCCGCCCTAGCAGCTCCTCACCCACCCCCAGCAGCTCCTCACCCACCCCAGCAGCTACTAACCCCACCCCAGCAGCTCCTAACCCCACCCCAGCAGCTCCTCACCCACCCCCAGCAGCTCCTCACCCACCCCAGCACCTCCTAAACCCACCCAAGCAGCTCCTCACCCACCCCCAGCAGCTCCTCACCCACCCCCAGCAGCTCCTCACCCACCCCCAGCAACTCCTCACCCACCCCCAGCAGCTCCTCACCCACCCCCAGCAGCTCCTCACCCACCCCCAGCAGCTCCTCACCCACCCCAGCAGCTCCTCACCCCACCCGAGCAGCTCCTTACACCACCCCAGCAGCTCCTCACCAGACCCTAGCAGCTCCTCACCCCACCCCAGCAGCTCCTAATCCCACCCCAGCAGCTCCTCACCCACCCCAGCAGCTCCTCACCCACCCCAGCAGCTCCTCACCCACCCCAGCAGCTCCTCACCCCACCCCAGCAGCTCCTAATCCCACCCCAGCAGCTCCTCACCCACCCTAGCAGCACCTCACCCACACCAGCAGCACCTAACCCCACCCCAGCAGCTCCTCACCCACCCCAGCAGCTCCTCACCCATCCCAGCAGCCACTTACCCCACCCCAGCAGCTCCTCACCCACCCCAACAGCTCATCACCCGCCCCAGCAGCTCCGCACCCCACCCCAGCAGTTCCTCACCCACCCCAGCAGTTCCTCACCCACCCCAGCAGCTCCTCACCCACCCCAGCAGCTCTTCACCCACCCCAGCAGCTCCTCACCCATCCCCAGCAGCTCCTCACCCACCCCAGCAGCTCCTCACCCACCCCAGCAGCTCCTCACCCACCCCAGCAGCTCCTCACCCCACCCCAGCAGCTCCTAATCCCACCCCAGCAGCTCCTCACCCACCCTAGCAGCACCTCACCCACACCAGCAGCTCCTAACCCCACCCCAGCAGCTCCTCACCCACCCCCAGCAGCTCCTCACCCACCCCAGCAGCTCCTAACTCCACCCCAGCAGCTCCTCACCCACCCCAACAGCTCATCACCCGCCCCAGCAGCTCCGCACCCCACCCCAGCAGTTCCTCACCCACCCCAGCAGTTCCTCACCCACCCCAGCAGCTCCTCACCCACCCCAGCAGCTCTTCACCCACCCCAGCAGCTCCTCACCCATCCCCAGCAGCTCCTAACTCCACCCCAGCAGCTCCTCACCCACCCCAACAGCTCATCACCCGCCCCAGCAGCTCCGCACCCCACCCCAGCAGTTCCTCACCCACCCCAGCAGTTCCTCACCCACCCCAGCAGCTCCTCACCCACCCCAGCAGCTCTTCACCCACCCCAGCAGCTCCTCACCCATCCCCAGCAGCTCCTCACCCATGCCCAGCAGCTCCTCACCCACCCCAGCAGCTCCTCACCCCACCCCAGCAGCTCCTCACACCACCCCAGCAGCTCCTCATCAGACCCCAGCAGCTCCTCACCCCACCCCAGCATCTCCTAATTCCACCCTAGCAGCTCCTCACCCACCCCAGCAGCTCCTCACCCACCCCCAGCAGCTCCTCACCCACCCCCAGCAGCTCCTCACCCACCCCAGCAGCTCCTCACCCACCCCCAGCAGCTCCTCACCCACCCCAGCAGCTCCTAACCTACCCCAGCAGCTCCTCACTCACCCCAGCAGCTCCTCACCCACCCCAGCAGCTCCTCACCCACCTCAGCAGCTCCTAACCCCGCCCCAGCAGCTCCTCACCCACCCCCAGCAGCTCCTCACCCACCCCAGCAGCTCCTCACCCACCCCAGCAGCTCCTCACCCACCCCAGCAGCTACTCACTCCACCCCAGCAGCTACTCACCCACCCCAGCAGCTCCTCACCCACCCCAGCAGCTCCTCACCCACCCCAGCAGCTCCTCACCCACCCCAGCAGCTACTCACCCCACCCCAGCAGCTCCTCACCTACCCCAGCAGCTACTCACCCCACCCCAGCAGCTCCTCACCCACTCCAGCAGTTCCGAACCCCACACAGCAGCTCCTCACCTACCGCAGCAGCTCCTCACCCA